GGTCTAGTGGCCCCCTTTCTCTCCCCCTCTCTCTCTCTCTCTCTCTCTCTCTCTCTCTGTCCTTTTCTAGTCAAATTAAAATAAATATATAAAATAAATAAAGTTAAATAATAATTCTTAAAAAAAAAAAAAAGAATCTAGAATTAAGTCCTACCCATGAAAGCTGAAGAGATACAAGTTGAGAGGAAAGTGAATTTGAAGCCTGGATGCAGAAGTTCAGGGCTATTACTTATTTTTGTCCATACATTCATTCTAACTTTTCTTGAAGCATCTGCGCTTTTAGTTAAAATATTTGCAGATCTATGGTGTACTAGATAGGGGTTTTATCATGCTGTACATTAGCATGTTTTCAAGTTTCCCTGCTTGGAATAGATTAATTAAATTCTGGGGCTGGGCAGTGGTGTAGCAATGAAATACTGTATGTGTGCATGACCCAGAATGGCTGAGCCTGGGGGAGGATTGTGGAGTCAGGACCTTGTTGGGAGTATTGTCTCTACCTCCCTCTCTTCCTCTCTTACACTTGGAATAGATAAAGTTTTTAAGGATTAAATTATATTAAATATTTGGGACCAGCAGTGGCATGGTGGTTAAGCTACTGGACTCCTACATGGCTGACTGGTTCGAGTCCCAGACCTGGCAGCTTGGTTTTGCTCTTTCTCTCTTACTGTCTCTCTCTGGTGAGCACAAGTACCCTTAATTTAAAATTTAAAAAATAATAAATAAAAAAATTTTTAAATTATATTAAATATTCAAAATATTTAAGTCACAAAAAGTGAAAGGATCTTCAATAGGAATTATTTTTCACAAACTTAGAGACCTGATGGTTTTATGGTATGTAGTAAAGCCTTTTGCAGTTCACGGAATGCACTCACGTACATTATCATTTGATCCCTTGCACAGCAGCCCCATGTGATTCTTGCTATTCTCAGCTTTGTCCAGGAACTAAAATTAGAACTAGGCTGACATTACATTTCATTTGGTTACACCCTGACTGAAGATCTTCATCACTTAGAGTCACGCTGAAAAAATTCCCTCTGCAGTCCACCTTCACAGATAACCACCAACTTTGGTCATATCAGCTTTGGCATCCACCAACAATGGTAAGTATATTTTGAAATCATTTCCCCACCCCCCATTCTTTGCATGTAAGTAAATGGTTGACAAAAGTCTTCACTGTGACTATTTGTCAAAATATTCAACCAATCTTGGAATGAAAAAGTCCTTTGGGAGTTTCATAGTCACTCATGTAATTGTTCTCTCTTGCAAGACAGATTTCTCTGCAAGTAAGCAGCATTTCTTCTGAGACTGTATCACGTTTGCTTCCTTTTGGTTCTGGGAAGCCAACTCTGCCAGTCATATGATTGCCGTGCTCTCCTCCCTGCCATGCTCCGTGCTTTTCTGTTAGGGTACTAGTCAAGGTAGAGACACGATCCTGTGCTGAAGGAAGAAAAGTGTGCCCCAATTTTGACACGTTTTCCTCTAAGGAAAGCTCGTCATTTGTAG